CAGGATGAGTCTCCCCACCACTTAGCCATCTGCACAAGAAAACAGCACTTGGCAATTAAATAAATGATACCACACCCCAGACTGTGCCGATAAAATATTATTTTGTCAAATAATTTTTCCATTAAAGGAAAGTTTCATGGCTAGCTCATTCTCCCTTCCTCATAAGAGACAAGATCAAGATGTTGAAATTAATGTTTAGGACAACATGCATGGATGTATGTCTCACCAGGCAGCTGCACTGTTCAGGTGCTGATATTCCACTGATGGGAAATCAGAGGTGCCTGCGTGCATGTGTGTGTGTGCTTTTCTGCATAGACATAGCAAAATCAACAACACTAATGATATTTTTTCATATCAGAAATTGGACCTTAGTGCAAGTTTGTTACCACCAGGTAGCTGTGACAGCACCATGCCTGCTTCCATCAATGTGTCCTCTCATACAGTGGAAGTCTTCACAGAAATGAGTCTTTTTCTTCTCTCTCTGGAAAGAAGGACTTCATGTCCTCCTTCCTTTCTGGAACAGGACACTTTTACAAGCTTGCTGACATAGCAGTGTCATAAGGGCAGCAATGTGACAAGATTTGAGAGTCCTTTAGCTGTTCCTACAGGAGTCTCTACCGGTGAGAATTACTCCAGCAGAGGTAGTTTTGTTAGGAGTACTTATCCTGTTCCAAGAGCACCAGAAGAGGTTATCATGGCAGAAGAGAATTTTGTCTAAGTGTTGGTGTCTGCACACTGTTGTAACAGTGCAAAGTACAGGACATTTTCTCCACAAAGTCTTTGAAGTACAGCTTCTGTTAGAGTTGTTTCTTCTGTCTCTTTTAGGAGCACAAAATATCCTTATGTAGATAGTTCAGTACAGAATGTGCCTGAAAAAAGAGGACCAGCATCTTTGCAGGTATCTAAGTCTTCCTGTATTTCTCTTTACTAATTACTGTTTTCTTGATTTTTTTTCACTGCAGTTGAAAGTCTTTGTCCTATTTAGTTTGGTTCACACCTATCATGAACCTCAATTGTTATTCATTGTCTATTTCACTGGAAATTCATCATTTCCCCAGTGACTGTCTAAACCAAACTGACAGAGAAAAAGAAATAAATATAATCTACATTAGGAATACCGACACAACATCACAAAGAGCTCTCATTGTGGGCTAAACTGGAACTGGTTTTTTGTTGATATTTATATTTCTAACATCACAATGATTCATTGTTGCCCCTTCTTTCTACCTACTTCCTCTTTGTGGGAAGGGCAGGAGCAGTGAACTGCACACATTCAGAAAGGAAATGAGACCTCTCAGAAAAGAGATATTTTTCAGAAGAATAGAAAGACCCAACTGCATGATCTAAACTTAACTGTGAAATCTCTATGTCTGTCCCAGTCTCCCTACACACACGTTATATGGGGCACCCCGGGATTCATTCATGAGGGATTAGGACTGATGAACCATTTCTCAGACTTTTTCATGGCACCATTTTCACCAAGAAATAAAAACTGAAATTTAATTAATGTAACCTGTGAATGTCAGAATATCCAGAATGAAAACAAAAAATGCCAAAACTATGTGTCACCAGGCAGAGGGAGATGAGTGTGGGTAATGACCCATGAGAAACACAGCAGCTGGTAGCACTGGAGCAGTTTGCAACAGAAAAGATGAAATTACCTAATATTGGCCTGGAATAGGTAGTTGATTCCTATTTCCTCTTGTTTGATTTCAATATAATCTTTTTACTGTTAGATTGAGATTAATACTTGCTTGATGCTATTCACTGTTTGCTGTTGGAGTATTCTGCTTTAGGAAAACTTCCTGTTGGAGCTCAATCCTTCTTATCAAACTGGCTATTGATAAGAATTACAGCTGCTCACTTTTCTCCATTTATACCCAGTACTCACTTCAAGAAATAATGAAGCATGATATATTATACTGCTAATGTGATTTCCCTTTTTCAGTTGTTTTTTTAATATAAGTGTATACTTTTGGAATATCTACACAATATAACCTGAACACACAGGTGAATTTTAGAGTGCTTTGCAGTACCAGACTTCATAATAGAAATCTTGCTGCCAAAACAAAATCTAAAGATTTGTTTTCCATAGGAGGCTTGCAGTGTTTAGAAAAATTTTTCTGACTCTACTTGGTGTTAAATTTCCTCCAGCTTCTAAAAAAGTAGATACGCTACAGAGAAATTCAGAATTAATATGAACATTCACAAAAAACTCACAGAATTATTGCTTAAGCTATAGGTGAAAAAAACAAACCACAAAGTTTGGAGGAAAATTGAAGCTTAAGGAATGTACTTGGTCAGTTCAGCTGAATATTAAGAAAGATCACGCTAATTTACAGAAGTTAATGGATCATGAGACAGAGGCAAATCATTATTATACTGATTTCAAAATAGGATCCTGAAATTTTTACTAAGAATGCTGCCTTCGTTGCTGGGCTGGTAAAGTTAGGATTTGTCATGCATTTCTATCAACAGTGATTATCTAATGCCATATCTGCAGACATGCCTAAAAAATTGATTGAAACAATTTTTAGTACCTTAAAAACATTTTATTTTCCCAACCCAGAATGATCTGATTTCCACTTGATTAACTATAATCTCAATTGCTACTTGAAACAGTGCTTTTGAGAAATGTCACCCAACTTGTAAAATAAAAATCACTAAACTTAATCAGCATTCTCTCATACCATAAAATCACCAGCATTTTTTTCCTGCAGTTGTGTCTTTTTTTTTTCATCACAAGAAGCAATTTTGTACTTTCAAATGGTCTCCAAGTATCAGCCACTGCTTTTACTTCCTCTATTATATGATTTCATAATTTCATTTTGTATTTGCTTCCCAACCTGCAATGTAACTTCTTGCTGTTTCGCTGTTGTGCTCTATGGGTCACATTGGTGCTCTAATTGCTCACTAAGTCATTTTTTCATAATTCACCATGATTCCCTGGAATGCCTATTGAATGCCTTTGTAAAGCCTTTGCTAGTGGGTCACAGGACAAACCCAGCAACAAAATCCAGTCAGTTCAAAAACAACCTGAGGAATTTTTACTGGCCAGGATGCCAGGGCAAGATCCCAAGAGGGACCTGTCGGAAGCAGCCCAAAGGCATAAAACTGCCTCTGGGAGTGTGAGCCTTTCTCTTTCCAGGGCATTTGCTTTATGTTTTATGCCAGTCCCAAAATGCTGTTCACCCTATGCGGGGGCTCCCCACCTTTCCATCTCTGCCCATCCTACAGCTGCTTCCCTTCTTCAAGGAACAGGGCAGGGCAGGGACATGGCAGCCCCTCACTTCCCTCCCCACAGCCTCTCTGGGCAGACCTCACCAGCTGCTGAGAGATTCCACTTGTCCATTGGTTTTTTTGTGTCTGTCCACAGGGTGGAGGTCATGACTTGCATATAAGCCAGCCTGCACCAAAAATAAGCATTAAAACTAGAATTATAGAGGGATCAAGTCATGGAACAGAAACAGAGGGTGGAAAGCAAGAAGAACTGTTTGTGTGCCAAGGGCAACAACAGGAAAAAGTTCTTGTGGAGAACGTTTTGTCTGTGGTTTGTCACTTGTCATGCTGTTTTCCACACCACAGAGGTGCAGTCCAGCTCTCCCTAGCACAGCAATTTGAATTTGATGTTTGGTTGTGGAGGCAGGCAGAAGTGCAGTGCAGACCCTGGAGAGCCCATGCTTGGAGCTGTTGTTAGTTGGGCTCCAGTGAGGGCTGACACTTCACAGCTGAGGCAGGGCCAGTGTTAGAGAGGAATCTGTGCTGGCAGAAGGTTGCCCGTGAAGGGAAGAGAGGTGCAGTTTGGCACTGTTGGAAGCACGGTCTTTTCACATTGCTCTTTTCTTGTCTTTGAAGTACAAGTGTATCATACTGACTATATTTTCCTTTATTTCTCAGAGCCTAACATGTTTATTTCATAATTGGCATCTGATAGTTACAAAGAGAAAGAAAAAAATCCTGTGATTTTTCTGTCCTGTCAACAAAAATGTTTCTGCTTAGTTGGTCAGTTATTAGTCCTTTAATAATCTTGATAAAATACCAGCAAAGATTTGTTATGAGTGTTACTCCAATTTGCTCAGTGATGTTCTGGACATCGTTTTATTCTTTAGTAATATCTTTTTAAAGCAAGATTGTCTTATCAACAGCTTTAACCAAAACAAAATTACTATTTTCAGGCTTTAGGATGGGAAATATTTGAGAGTAGACTGAAGCACCTCTGGCCTGAGAAATCCCATTACAGGGAATCAGACCAGAAGAGACTTTTGAAAAGATCCACATGCAGACTTGAGCTATGGAGTGGTTCACAGAGAAATAGAAAAATTTCAGGAATGCTGATTTGAAAAGGGGTTGAAAATGAGTGACAGCCAAGTCAGATGCAGGGCATCTTTAACTCCTCCTGGGACACTCATGATGATCCTGTCAGGGGCTGTCACCTGGTGTGTGCTCCCAGCCTGGGCTTCCAAACCCAGGCTACAGTGGGTGCTGAGTGCTGGGTGATGTGCCACCTGCACTACCACCAGGAGTCAAGTGAGCCTCAGAGAAATTTCACCTTGTGTTCCAAAGATTTGGTGCAGATGGATCTCTGGAAGGCAAGAGCCACCCCTGGGACAGAGCCATGCTTCAGAAAAGCTTAAGACAGAAGAAAGCAGCTGTGATAACCACCCCAAAGCCTGGAAGCAATCCAAAGCACAAAGAGAGAGTGAACCTAGTAACCAGACCAAAATTCAGGCCTCCTCTAAACTCTCTTTTCCTGTCCATGTGTTTTGTTCTGCTTTTTGCTTCATTCTGATTCTGGAGGAAATACTGGCATGTGTTTCTTCCCCTTACAGCTCAGACGTAGTCAAGCACAAGTGGGTGACATCTGGGGAGAATGTATTTTTTCTCAAAGCTGAGCTGTACCACGAGGATTTGCTACCAGTTCATCCATCTTGCACGTGATGAAAGTCCTAACATGATACCTACAGGTTTATTTTTTTCAACTGTTCTTTTTTGTCTTCCAGGGTTTGGTATGACCACCCCAGCCACCGTTGGAGGCAAAATTTTTCTGATATTTTACGGCCTTATAGGATGTGCAGGGACCATTTTGTTCTTTAACCTGTTCCTGGAGCGCTTGATCACTGTCATAGCTTACGTCATGAAGTCCTGCCACGAAAGACAGCTGAGGAGGAAAGGGGTTCTCCCTCACAACGGCCGGCGGGGCTCGGGGACCTCTGAGGTGGACAGTCTGGCGGGCTGGAAGCCCTCTGTGTACTATGTAATGCTGATTTTATGTGTAGCATCCCTCATCATTTCCTGCTGTGCCTCTGCGATGTACACACCAATTGAAGGGTGGAGTTACTTTGACTCACTTTACTTCTGCTTTGTGGCCTTCAGCACCATTGGTTTTGGTGATCTGGTCAGTAGCCAGAACGTCAGGTATGAGAGCCAAGGCCTTTACCGCTTTGGCAACTTTGTCTTCATACTCATGGGGGTGTGCTGCATCTATTCCTTATTTAATGTGATCTCTATTGTCATCAAGCAGTCCATAAACTGGATATTAAAGAAGTTGGCCTGCAAGTGCTGCCACAGGTGCCAAAGAAGATTATTTCGTTCGCGGAGGAATGTGGTGATGCCAGGAAACGTGCGCAGCCGGAGAAACATCTCCATCGAGACTGACGGCGTCAATGAGAGCGACACGGACGGACGCCGTCTGTCAGGGGAGATGATCTCCATGAAAGACTTCCTGGCCTCCAATAAAGTCTCACTGGCCATCATGCAGAAACAGCTGTCAGAAACTGCTAACGGGTATCCAAGGCAAATGAGCTCTAACTCGAAGCAAAATGGATTCTCTGGTGGGGTTGGAGCCCTAGCAATTATGAATAACAGACTGGCAGAGACAAGTGTGGATAGGTAAAATAATAGCAGTAATAACAGTGAAACAGTGTGAACCATTTCGACAGGTATTGAAACAGCATGAATCAAGTGAAATAGCTAGGGAGAGAGCACCACCTGAGGGTGGGATCATGTGGAGAGCATACCTCCTGATGGAAGACATCTTGACTTTTTGGGGACTGTCACTTAATGTTTTTGCATTGTACCGGTCCCAGCCTTCCTTCTTCCCCATCACTCTGCTCCTCAAGCAGGTCACTGCAGGAGGATTTTAATTTAGCCTTCAGATAAAATTTCTATGTCCTGTTCTTCTCCATTATGTGACATACAGATTTCAGGATAGGAAATCTGTGGGATGGGAAGAAACCAAGTGTGTCTACTGAACACATTCTTAATTCAGAGATTGTTTGGAGCTCTCTTTCTTACTCTCATCATGCCTGTTTCCTGGAAGTGACTTATCTGAGACCAAAAGATGAATCAGCCTTTGTGATTTTGCAGATCTAATTTAATGGAAAATAGTATGGAAGTTGGTAGGTATATTCTGGAGCTATTGTAATGTGAATGGGGAGAGATTTTTGCCTTTAGAATTTATTTAGTCTTTCCTACAATAGGATACTGTCAAAAATGATAGAATAAAAACTTATCCTACTTTTGTTTTCTTTTCTTCATTTGCAAAATATTATTCTTTTCCAAGGATACTTTTTCTTCTAGAATCGAATCACTGTGGCTTTCTGTTTCAAAAATGTCAAATTAAATTGAAAATTGACATACTGATGAGTGGTATGAATTATTCCACAATAGCAATCAAAGACTTTCCAAATTTCTGTTCACATTTGCCTCAATTGTGACTGAAGCATCAGCATTCTGTAATGCAACTAGTAACTGAGTTTACACAACAGGCTTTAGTATGCAATTAGATTGCCATGCCAGCATCCAGAGTGTTATTATAAATAACTGTGATCACAGAATCACTTTGGCAGTGTCCTTTTTCTCTTTCATGTAACTCTGTCATTCTTCATCTGTTTCTCTGGCTTTCAGTGATAATAATGACAGGGTCTTGATTAGGGAAATAGAAAATGTTTTAATTCCTTGTTTTTCTCAATGAAATGCTCTGAGTGCTCATTATGACTAGAAAGGAAATTTCAATGAGAAGAATAATAACAGTGAGAAGATCATGAAAACAGGAAAAGAAGTGTTCTTTAATGACAGTGAAATCATCCTATGTATTAGGTAGCTAGAGAAATAAGGAATTAAATTAACATAAAATCTAGGAAGATTTCAAGGAAGACTGGGCTGAATTCCTGGTTCTCCTTTAAACTTGCAACACATCAAAGCTAAACAGTATACGAGAGTGTAAATAAGCAGAACTGGTCACAAAGGACCCCATCCCCTGGAAAAAGTATTATATACATCAGGACTAAGTGTTTTCTCACAGCTGGAAAGCCTTTCAGAATACTGCAATATTAGGAAATTTAGAACATCATTATGTAGTTCTCTCATACAGAACAATGCAGATAGCCTCTTCAGTTTAATTTGTATTAGGAATTAATTATTTGTCTTCATTCTGGCCTAAAGTTCTTTCACTTAGGTTTCTAATATTGTAGAATAACATTTTTATACTCATTTTATCAATATTTTAATTTGAAAACAAAAGCTTGGAATCCTTTAATATAATAAGCTAACCCAAGATATTCAACAAATGCACTTAACTAGTGAAAAAATTGCAAACTCTTTTGGCATTATTATGGGTAAAAATCCTGATTTAAAGTCAAATCCTGCTGTTCTTAGTTACAAGGAAAGCTTCAAACTGAAGTAATCAGTCCAAACTCTGATATCTGTCAACTAATCTGTGCAGCAATGGAATAGTCTTAGCAGTATCCCTTCACATTTGCATCAATGTAAAATCTGAATCAGCTTCCAAACCTAACTTTTGTGAGAAATGCAGTTTTATTTGGTTTTTTGGGGTGTTATGTATTAGCAAAAATTGCCACTGAGCTATTTCAGATAATATTATAATACCCAAGATCCATTACACTGTTATACTTTTTAATTTTTTTTTAAATCCCAAGGGCTTCTTTGTCTTAATCTCCCTGAATAAAAATACCTGGCTATAAAAACAGAGAAGAGCTGCTCTGTAGCCTTCTTTCCAAATTCATTCAGAAACACATCTGTTCACTGCCTGTAAGCCTAAGATCTCATTGTTATCAATGTATTCCTCTGCCAACTAGCAGAAATAGTACAGGACTTAACCCTTTGCTTCAGCAACCATTAAGAGGGTCTTCAGATGGTTTCAAGACATGAGACAGTTGTGTTGCTCTGTTCCATTCTTTCTGGTAACCAGCACTGGTTTCTCATCACCACAGAGGAATCTTTGTCAGCTATTTTCAATAGGTCTGAAAACATCTATGGTTATGAAAGCAAGGGACCAATAAATGGTCTTTATCCAAGAGACTTGGCAAGGCTGCGAGGGATCTTTGGTGTACGCTAGCTCTGTTTGCATTGATCAGCCCTGACCTTCTGCTCACTCAAGCACTGCCATCCTCATGACCCAAACCTGCCAGCTGCAAATCTCTGCGCTGGATTTGTGGTTGGATTTCATGTCCATGAAGATAACGAGGGAATAGCTGCACTAATCATCTCTGCACAGACGTCAATTGCCAGAGATGAAGGACCAGCATATTCTGTCCCTGTGCCATCTTGTACCGTGGTGTCATCCTGTCCCTAAGAGACCTCTGACTTTGTCATTGAGTTCCCCTTACAGCAACCACACTTAACATTGAATGAGGTTACTTTGCCAAGGACACTGTAGAATTCTTTGAGAATATCTGTGGATAAATAAGACTTTTGAGATCAGAGAGAGAAATTTCTGGCTACGGTCCCATGGTATACTACTGTGGTTGTTTTACTAAAGGTCTTGTAGAGAGAAATCCCCAAAAGCTCTGATTATAATGAGCTATAATATTATAGTTTAATATCAATATATTAAATTTAATAAAGATATTAAAGATAACAAAACAAGTGGAGACACAGATGTACACATACCAAAAAAGGAGCAGAATTTAACATAGGAGTAACAAATGCCCATCCTGTGTGAAAAGTAAATTACAATAAAAATACAGATAGCATCACATTTATTGCATTACTTTTTAAAGTAGCAATGAAGAATTAAAGGAGATAGTCAGGGATCTATTTTCAAAGATGTGCAAATTTTAATGCCATATTGCTTAACACTAAAATATCAGCCAACAAGACAGAAACCTGTTTTCAAAAGTACTGAGTTTGTTGCCTGCCATGAATTTTCATGGTGGCTATTGAGATATAGGGGTGAGGTTTTTAAGGCAGAAATGCTTGGGGAAAAACCTTGGATGCATTGAGATTCTGATTCTGCACTTTAAAAGGTCAGGAGTACCACTAAAATCAGTGGGTTAAACTACAGCTTGCAGCCTGCCAGGCCAAAACTGAAAATCCTTAATGGAATAATCTGCTGAAATTTAACCATATAGTTATGCCACAACTTAATAATACCATTATTGAACAGTATAATTATTTTACATTGAAAGGAAATATCTACTGCTAACCAAAATACAATCAAATAAAAGTAGAGGTAGCTCTTAGGGTTTTCTTCCTTGCTTAGGTTTTGTAAAATGTGTGCATCAGGCACTTTGCTGCTAGGTAGGTGTGAAAGCAGTTACATTCCTTTATCTCCATGAAGGACACGGGCTGCTTTTTGCAAGGACATGAATAGACTCTTCAAAGGCATTTAATTTCTGCTGGAAGTCAATTAACTTCCCAGCACACACCAACTTTCAGTAGGAGTCAGGTACCTGATTCCCTTAGGCAATTTCAGAACCCCAGCCATGTATTAGGTTTTGAATCTAAGATGACCTGACAGTGTCCCTGAAAAGTTCAAACAGTTGGAGCAAAGTTTCAGTGCTGCAGCACTCTAATAGCTGAATTAATTTATCTAAAAGCATTTTGTGGTGAAAGCTTTGCATCAACCAAATAACACCAACCATGTTTACATTTTGTTTGATTTAGTCTTGGCCTCTGTCAGTTTTGATTATATTTGACACATTTACAAATTGAAGAACAAAGAGAAGGTTGGGCTAGGCATAAAAAATAAAGCAGCTTCATTTCTCTAACTGAATTGATCAAGAGAAACAGGTTAGGTTGGAAAACAAGCCCCTTGATTAATATTATATTTGAATAAAGTTTATCTGGAGGGTATTAAGTTTTTTGGATGACTCCTCTCCAACAGCTGTGGAAGTGGAACTCTTTGTGTGACCTCCCCGATGTCCCTACTCTGGGAACAGAAGCTGAGTGAGCCTTAGCTTACAGACGGGTCAGCATTTCCAAGCAATACAGTTGGAATCTTCTGTTGTTTTAATTTAGGCTACTAACACTGGGCTAACACAGCACTTTCTTAGATTCTTCAAGAAGTAGGAAAGTTATTTTATCTAATTTAATGTACAAGCTGTAGAGAATCACCAAGTTTTCTTTCCCCTGGGCAGAAAATACTGCCAAATATACAAGTACAATGTGTCTGTCTGAGAATGTTCACAGTACTTTTTTGCTTAATCCAGGAAATAAGAATATAATCCCTTCCCTACTCCTTGTTTTCCAAACATCTATTGGCATTGGCAACAATATCTACTCAATACTCTGCTTATTACTTAAAAGGTCACATTTCAGTAGGAAAATGAAAAACATTGCTCATCAAGGTGGACCAGCATAGTTTTATTTTGTATTAGATTTAAGAGAAATTGTGAACACAAAGAAAGACCCTTCACATCCAAGTAGTCAGAAGCTTTATTATATAGCCTGTGTTTATAGAGCTGTTTTATGTCAAACCACACAAAAACCACACCACTGCAGATTTTTAAGAGCATAAGTAAGTCTAAGAACAACCTTATAGAATAAATACACTGTGTTTTTTACAGTTTCACTCTAATATATGCCTTCAGTTTTCATTATTTGAAATTATTTGTGATAATAGAATAAATATAAATTTGCAAAGATTTTGAG